TATATATATATATTTTTTTTTTGAGATTCCATCTCATTTTATTGTATGTATGTATGTATGTATTTATTTATTTTTTGGGTCTGGTCGTGGGGTCCGAACTCTGGGCTTGGGTGATGTCCCTCAGCTCTTCAGCTCAAGGCCACAGTGCCACTTCTGGCTTTTTTTCTTTTTGCTTATGTGGTGCTGAGGAATCAAACCCAGGGCCTTGTGCATGCAAGGCAAGCACGCTACCACTGAGCCACCTTCCCAGCCCCTCATTTTATTTTATTTTATTTATTTATTTATTTTTTATTGTGAAAATACTGTACAGAGGGGTTACAATTACATGGGCAAGGTAATGACTACATTTCTTATCAAGCATTGTAGCCTCCTCCTTTGTTTCCCCTTCCCATCCTCCCCCCGCCCGCTCCCCTGTAGAATATTTTTAAAAACTTTTAAATACATGATTCTAATTTTATTCTAAAATACATTTTAGCTCTTTAATTTGGAAAACTTTGGTCTACTAACAGTGATGCATCTCACAGATTAGCTTATAGCAGCACAGTGATGATTACAGTATGGCAAACAGATTAACCTGGTTTTACCATATTACCCTGAGCAAACAGATTAACCTGCTTTTACCATATTGCACTGAGTAGGGGTAGGTGTATACTTTTACAGTATTTATGTGATTTATATTAAAAAATACCTATATATCTAAGTCCAAGACCAGGACTTGAACTTGGTATCTGATGCTTTTGGTCATTGGCTGATGTTCTATCATTTGAGACATGCCTCCAACTCCAGTGTATTTTCTGTGAATCACAAAACAAAATAGGTGCCATAGCTGAAATTATTGTAGCTGTATTTAGGATATTTTTTCTTTCTAGAGCTGGCAATTAAACTCAGGGACTCTTGCATGGCAGGTAAGACCTCTACTCCTGAGTTACATTCGTAATCTGTGCAGCTGGCATCTAAAAGTAGTTGTAAATATTTTTACATTTTTAAAATTTCTCAAAGCTTTAGCAAGGATTTATTTTATTTTTATTTTATTTTTTGGTCCAGTCGTGGGGCCTGAACTCTGGGCCTGTGCGCTGTCCCTCAGCTCTTCAGCTCAAGGCTAGTGCTCTACCACTTGAGCCACAACGCCACTTCCGGCTTTTTCCTTTTTGCTCATGTGGTGCTGGGGAATCGAACCCAGGGCCTCATGCATGCAAGGCAAGCGCTCTACCACTGAGCCACCTTCCCAGCCCCAAGTATTTATTTTATTAAAATCAGGTTAAAATAGGGGAGAAATAGAAAAAGAAAAACATTTTCTGCTCTTTATTCAATAAATATGAGTTAAAGACTCCACACTGAGGGCTGGGAAGGTGGCTCAGTGATAGAGCACTTGCCTTGCATGCTCGAGGCCCTGGGTTCGATTCCTCAGCACCACATAAGAATAAA